TTATTTGACTGGCCTGGTTTATTTATTTAACACGTTCTTACATTTTCTGTGCCCTCTATTCTCCTACTACTGTGATGGTGATAATTTTTAAAATGAATAAATCTAAGATGTCTGCAGTGCATGCAAATGTGGGGCCACTGATTTGATAAGGGATTGTAATGCCAGTGATATTGAACAGGTTTATGTAGCATGTTACCAGTCTCCAACATCTGCTGTCATGTCTGAAGTCTCATCATCTCCTGTATAATTGCAATGTGTAGAGAAAATAAGAGTGCCACGCTAAAGGTTTAGGATTCCAAGGGTATTTATTTTGTCATAGAAGTCCAAAGACAACAGAAGACTATAGGTTTCCCCCATCATCAGGGCTTAAACTGCTGGTTTGAATAGGATGTTGGATTTTTATGTATAATTGAGGGTTAATTTGACTAAGTAATAAACTGTCACTTTAAATCCTAAATAAAATCCTAATAAAAAAATCCATGTGTTTAAAGATCCTCATTATTGTGTGTTGAATTAACCCACATGGGTCTATCATTCTATTCAAAGGAGAAGTTCAAGTCCTGGTGAAGGAAGCACCGTATAGTCCACAAAACACATTCGCTTATTAGCCTGACGAAGTCACGTAGTATCTGTGACGCAACGTTGGTACGCCCTTACGACATTTCTGGAACGCGCTGACGTCATTTCCGGCGCACGCGCCATATTGGGACTACAAACATACCTATGCTATGAGGATGTCATGAGGCCTTTTTTTCATGTGCGATATCGTCTGTGAAGATGTGAGTGGACATTTCTTTGTAATCTTTTAATAAAAATTACTGTATTACGCTATGGGAGATCTTTGTTTGTGTCTCTGAGCATGACCCTGTGGTAAAGAGTCAGCATCAGATTAATCAGTGGCTGGAGGAGATTTGGAAGACAGCTCCTTGATGTGGTTTCCAGTATGGTCTTCTAGATCAGGTGGTCCCTGAGGGATACGTCTTATATACAACAAAGCGTGCTGGCCCTTGTGGTCACTGCAAGGAGGTGAGGGGGCACTCAGACCATCTTAGGATTGTGACACCAGTGGCACTCTCACGTTTTTGAAGTCTTTACACTTATGTTTGAAGTGGACTGTTTCATTATTCACTATTACCACATAATAAGTGTGCTATGCTTGCATGAGTTTGTATTTCAACCACTGTATATTAATTGAGTCACTTATTGGTTTCCCGTTTATATTGGGGACACTCAAGGGGAGTGTTGTTTTATGTATGTTTATCTGTGTGTTTTTATGTTTATTTATCTGTTAGATTTTGCATGTGTGTATGATTATTTATACATATGCATATCAAATACGATCTAGCGCTACACCATTTATATTTTTCTATGTATTCTTTGATTTTGGTATAAAGGAGGGTGTTGGCAGCTTTAAGTAGTTTATTCATCTGAGCGCAGGAGGTCCTATTAACATTAGCTTGTTGTCTTTAAACTTCTATGATAAAAAATATTCTTAGACTCCTGAACTTTTGGTGTGGTGCTCTTGTTTTTCCTGCATTGTGAAATATTTGCACAAAGCACCTTTAAGGCCTCATTATGTAAGAGAAGCTGCCCAGTCAGAGCCACTTTACACTGTAGTAATACATTATATTCACAATGGGACCTAAAACAGTTTTGGATCCAGCACCTACTATTTACATCTTTTGGATTCCATCTCCTATATCATGTCTGTAGGCAGGTGCCTATTGTATAATGTGTTTTGTTGCAGAGTTGTATTCTAGTGTTCTGTAACTTTAAATTTTGGCTGGCACTGTATGGGTTTAAGGTTTTCTGCATAGTCATTTTTTCCACTGTGTATATGTCACTTTACCTGGTTAAGGCATATATACAGGGAATGCACTACCTTGTGGTCTGTTAAGGCATGGTAGTGGCTGCGAGAGGACTTGTCTCAAAGATGTGGTTGGTTTTTCGCTGACCTACCCTTCAATGGGGATCTGATCCCAGGTTTCGTGTGCATGGACTGGTATTCAGAAAGGACTTTGCTAAGATCAGATATGGGTAGCATCACAAGAAGGGGCAAAGAACAGCAAATTGTAAAATAACCATATGCATTACAAATAGGTATAGTTGATCCATCTGCACCACATCCCCATTAAGGTAAACAAAAATTAAAGAAGAAAAGGTATGTGGGATTTGTAATTTGCAAAAATTCCCTCAGCATAAACAGACACAAATATACTGATATTTTAAAATGATCAAACTTTATTACTAAATATCTAAACACACAAAGACATTTTGTCTAATTATAAAAACAATGAAGATGTCATGACATGTAAGTGCAATCAACCCCAGACTACCTTCCCTAAAAATATGGAGTGATGAAATGACTGTAGTCTTAATGAACTGATTGATGTTTGGGAAGGTGGTAGATCCCAACACGTTTCACCAGATAGTCTTCTTCAGGGTTTCAAACATGGGGAAAGAAGGAACACTGGAAGTATACAAAAACCCATGAAAGTACTCACAAAACCATATAATTGCTGTGTATATACATTTTACCAAAATACAACTCATTTAGATACATGTAATAGCCATAACTCATCATTGTAACAACAGATTACCTAGATATATTGTTAGATATTTTGTGATAATGTTTGCTAATTTTTCAATATCAGTATATTTGTGTGTGTTTATCCGAAGGGAGTTTTTGCACCTTAAAAATCCCACATTCCTATTCTTCTTTAATTTTACCTTACCATTTTCAGTGACATTGAACAGTAAAGATAATTTTTAAGAAATAAATGAAGTTGCCTGGTCTGAATTACTTCTGAGGTACTTAAAGGGTTAGCTTACCTTTACCAAAAAACTGCTTATGCAGATCTGCATATATGCAACTGTAGATGAAAGCAAACAGTACAGTTTCATGTAAAGTTGAATAATACCCATGCTATACTTGTAGGGCATTAACGAACCTCATGAACTCTGGCCTGAAAAGTCCCAGGATGTTGCTAGGGCATTGCTAAGTGAAGCCTTTTACTGATCACCTTCACCATTACAGGAGCAAGCTCTCAAATTCTGAGCTCAGATCTACAGCACCAGGGGAGTCAAAGTGCATGTGAGGGTGTTTGAATCAGAAAAAAAGAGCTCACTCCTGTGACGGTGGAGGTAAACAGTAATACCTGGACCTTGATTAGCAACATCCTGGTAGTTTTTCAGGTCAGTCTCCATGAGGTATGTAAATGGCCAACACCTATAGCAAAGGCATTATTCCACTTTAGTCAAAACTGGACAGTTTGTTTTTATGTATAGACGTCCCTTACCTGCATAGGCAGCTTTTTGTAAATGTGAACTGACCCATTAAGTGTATTACTAATGGGTGTATTCATGGTGTATTCAGAATGGGAGCAAAACCATGTACACCCTCTAAGTTGAGAAGAAAAATAAATATATTGTAACAAGAGTCACCAACTTTCAAAGGTTATATTTAAATGGTGCTGAATCCTGACGTCGACAATGGACATACCCCTGAGGACGTGCGTGTGCACAAAATGCATTGGGTGGAGCCTATGTGCTGACGTCACGCTGCCACATCCGCGTTCTGGAGTGGTGGCCATCTTGGTATGTGATATATTTACTTCTCCACGTGGAATGTTTTTTATGGAATATTTTTAAATAAACACTAGGCTATATATCAATCCTTGGGCTCCGTGTGGTGAGCATCTCTCTTTAGGACCTAACGGGACTGGTAAAGTCGCTGGAGAGTGGATGGTATAGACCCCATTGCATACATGTTACCAAACAAGTAGCTCTGTGGTGAGTGCATAGTGGTGGTGGATCGCACACTGGCTTTAGAGCTCTGTGAGGGACTGAACACTATCTGCCGTGATTGTTATCAATACACCACAGACATACAGATTTATATCAGAAGGACTTTGTTTACTATTCTGTTGGTTACATTGAGATTTATTTATATTAATTTTGTTTTCTGCCACTGAATTGTTTCATTATTCACGTTATAGTTGTTATCACATGCTGTACTTTTTATATACTGTACTTTGTTCATTGAGATTTTGTCACTATCTCTTGTGCCAGCTGCTCCTGTATCTATAACACTCGCCGTTTGCTTCTGAAATAGGTTGCATGTTGTAGAGGAGCAAAGGTATGTAACAAGGAGAAGCAGCCAGCTAGCAGTGGAATCAGTGATGGTAGCAGGTAATGGGGGACATGGTAGTGAAGGAACAGTTATTACTTCATGTTCCCCACTTAGTAGCAGGGTCTTCATATTGGAGCCAGCTGCGTTACAAGTCCTGCCCATGGACTGAGCCTGTGGTCATGGTGTGCAAGCCCTTGTGAAGAGAAGTACGATGACTTTCCTGTTTGTCCATGGGTGAAATCTAATTAAAGGTGCAGAGTTGAAGTGTAACACAAGCTGGTTGGGTCAAGTACTTGCTCAGCAATAGGGATGGGCATGATGGTCGAGTCGAACTAAAGTTCAACTCGAACACTGGCCTTTTGTGTGTTCGCTGAACACAAGACTGCTGATCACTCAGTTCTCAGTATTCCATGAGCAGAGAGCTGGTGACTGTCAGTTACCGGCTCTCTGCTTTGCCTCTCCAGCACTCACTATAGTGCTGGGCTGTAGAGGACAAGAGCAGTTGGCTCATGCTCTCAGCAGATCACTGAGAGGCTGAGCCAGGTCCTGGTCCAGGCTTCTGCGTAGATCCTGACCATATGGTTGGGATTTTTTTCAGAGCCAGGGCCAGCTCTGTGATGTGACAGGTGAAAACCGGTCGCAGGAGTGCAGAATTAACTGCACTCTTGTGATAAACAGGAGAAGTATAACCAAAAGAGCTTTGGCTATATTTCTCCTTTGATGTCAACACAGAGTAAGAACTTAAAGTGGAGTTCCAGTGAAAAGAGAAAAAAAAAGTCAGCAACTACAAAAACTAGCTGCTGACTTTTAAAAAAGGACACTTACCTGTCCCTCTATCCTACGGTGTGTCCCCCCCCCCCCCGCAGCCAGTTTCACTGGCCACCCTGTGTTCCTGGCAACGGCATCTTCAGTGTGGGCACCCAGCTGTGACAGCCGTGTGCTCATTGAGCATGGTCCCGTAGTCTTCTGGGAGCTATCACATGTCCTACAAGACTACGGGGAGGGAGGGGGGAGGACAAATTCCACTTCTGATTGCAAAGGCGATCACAGCGGAAGTGGGAGCGGGTACCTGTCAATTTCAGGTACCCGCTCCCCAAAGGTGCCAATCCTTAATGGGGAGCGGGGGACCAGTCCTTAAAGTGGAGTTCCACTCACGCTGTCAAAAAATAGAAGTCAGCAGCTACAAAAACTGTAGCTGCTGACTTTTAAAAAACAGCCACTTACCTGTTCCTCGGTCCTGCGGTGTGTCCCCCCCAGCCTGTTTCACCAGCCATCCTGTATTCCTGGAGGCCGGCATCTTCAGTGTGGGTACCCAGCTGTGATTGCTTGTGGCTTCACAGCTGGGTACCCACTGCGCATGCGCGTGTAGCACTGCGCTTCATTAATGGTCCTGTAGTCTTCTGGGACCTGTCACGTGTCCCAAAAGACTACAGGGAGGGAGGAAGGACACCTTCTGTTTCCGATCGTTTAGGTGATCAGACCAGAAGTGGGAGTGGGTACCTGTCAAATTCAGCTCCCCAAAGCTGTCAATCCTTAATGGGGAGCGGGGGAGCAGTCCTTAAAGTGGAACTTCCCCTTTTGGGTGGAGCTCCGCTTTAAAGCGAAACTTCCCATTTTGGGTGGAGTCCCGCTTTAAGTGTGATTTGGCTTGCATCTCCCTGGTGGCCCCTAGGGGGTGATATGTTGCACCTCCCAACCTATCTGCAGTCTCTGACTGAAGTAGAATATCATGTGCAGCCTTTAAACTGTTTTCAAATAATCTTAGCACCTTTCCTCTGTCAACTAGTTTCAGACTCTGTTGGAGACTGCTGCAGAGATATGTATGATGTTACTTATAACTAAGGTGACTGGCTTTAGTACTGCAGCCACCAGAATCACTTAGGCTCTGTTTCAATAGGCAGTGACTAATAACAAAATTACATGCTTATTGGGACTTGCTGACTGTAGTGCCCAAGGCAACTGATAGTTCCCATGCCTTCATTGTGATCCTGACAATAACTACCTCTGATAGCTTTAATTATTGGTGTAAAATCTACTAAATTTTAAAGCTGAATATGCAGCTTCTGACCCACAGTTTTTTTTAATGAAAATATAGATAAAAAAAATTTTGCTCCAAATAAAATTAAGTTGTCAATAGATTTATGCATTGCCTTATGTCTTTTTTTTTTTAGTATCTTAGTGATGTTTATTGTACTTCATGCAGAATTTATGGAATACGATCACTACTGAGTGTCAAATAGTGTCACATTTGTTTTTACAATTTTTGCACAGGTTTGCTCCTGTTCATATACTTCATAAACACAATATTCTGGGAATTTAATATTCACTACTTCACCAATTTACAACTTAAAAAATGCTGTGCATCCATCGCTGGAGTTCATGTAGACAGAATGCAGCTGCAAAAAGGGCACAGAAGAGATTGGTAGCACTGAGATTAAACAAAGCATGAGAAAAGGCAAAAACATTTTTTTTTTTGATAGAAGTTGTGTAGGATACACAGCATTTAAGCAAACTTTCAGTAGGGGTTTACATATACTTTACTGGATGTGACCCCTACACAAAACTTTTCATATAGTAAACTGTTGGAAAAGTGTGTGTTTTGCCAAAAGAAATCAAATTCCATCTGCTATATGCACAAGTTAGAAAAATGAAAGTCAGAATGGAACTCTTTTCCTATCAGGCACACAATCCACAAATCTTCTTGCAATATCCTAACCCTTTCCATTGATCTTTGTACCACTACACTTCTCTCTCTTTTAGTACATAAATCCTAATAATCATCTCCATAATGTTACCATTGCTACACAGGAGAACACCTGAGACTCTGCTATTATTAAGAGATGGACACTGTGCTGTTCTATGCAGCTGATGACATTTTACTCACAAAATTCTACTTTATAGTTTTATTGTTCCTTCCACTTGTGCTGTTCTCTTTTCCTTTCCATCAGCTGTTTCATCTGTCTTCTTTATCTCTTCCCGACTTGTGTGTGGGCTGATGCCCCTGATTCTTTTCTGTCCTTTTCAATGTCACACTTTTGATTACCCGTCTCTCCTCTCACCTGATGAATCCATAAAGATGAACATAATTATGCTTTCCCAAGGTAAATGGCTCTTATAAATCAGACACTGCTGCCAGATTTCCTCTCCACTTCCTCTGCCTCTGAAGAATCCTCCCCCAGGATTCTATCTCCCTGCCACTAAACGCAGCCAAAGCATGAATGTATTTAATAAAGCAGGTCACTTGAAAGTATTTATATGGGCAGTGCTGGCAGACACAGGAAAAATTATCCCACTGAGCAAAACTCAGAACACCAAAGTTAATTTGCTTTAGAAATGTCAGAATCTCAAAACTAATGACAGTGTAGCACCCTCTTACCTTTAGGCAGATGAGGAGGACCGAGGACCCCCAGGCAGCTTGGTGGACTAGAATCTCCACTCTCAGGGTAGAATCCTTGACTTTTTGTGGGGTGAAAGAAATGGGGGTGCCAGTCGTTTAGTATATTTAAAGAGTTTATTAAAGCACATTAAGCTCTGCAAGAGCGGATTGCGGCACAGGTTGCCCAAAAATAGGCAAAATGGATCCAGACTTCTTTTCTAGCAACAGTCCACTAAGACTATGGGTCTTTAAGCCGGGACTGGCAATATGTATTTGTGGACTGTTAAATACAACCAGGTAGCACAATAACTTACCAGGATGAGCAGTGAGCACTTCATACAATGTCCACCAGAAGTAGCTTATGACCAGCTCTTCCCAAGAAGCGCCATATAGGCACCGATCTTCCTGTTCCACTACTTCTGGATGTAACCTTTATCAAGGCACCATACATTCTCTAGGGACAGGATCAGGCCTCTTATTTAGCAAGGGCCTGCTGCCTGGGAGGCAAATGACTTCCAACACAATCTCTTCTTCACGCTACAGCCCAGAAGCAAAAACACTTCTCCAAGGTCACAGATCAATATACCATCTATAGTTCTATAAGTACTGTCAATAACCACAAATTGGTAAATACTGCAAATAATTACTGCTGCCAAAGACCCTGATATCTCAGGAATGATATACTGTATCTTCTATGTAAGGCTGAATTCTGAATTGTAAAGCTGAAGGTCAAATGTAGCCCATGGTTTAGTTAGACCTTACACAATAAGACACGTTGACAGTATGCCCAAACAAACAGCATGGAGTACTAAGCATAATGTACACTTTCATATTTGCATTGTCATAAGTGTTATTGAATGTTCTTTTCTTTGTGCACATGTATCACATGCTGGAAGGTTCCTAGTCCTGGGAGATCCCCAGCAGTGTTGCCCAGAAGAGAGCCAAGTGCTCCAGTAGGACTACATGTTGCAGCAGATCTTCCTCTGTAAAACCCATGTGGAAGAAAGAGAAGAGTTCTGATCCCTCACACAATTAACCCCTTATCATCCTAGGCAGCCTGTAACAGTCTGCATAAATACACAGTAAAACAGAACTTTATCATGGTTCACATTATAGTGATAGGCAATAGAAACTTTATGTTATAAACAGCAATACAAATTTAGGTAAACTTTATATTTACTCCTGTAAACACCTGCTTACATGTGTGTGAACCGTCTAACCAAGTCTGTAGTCTTAGCAGAGTAAAGAATGGTCTCTTGGTTAGGGGGGCCCATGTCCTCTTGGTCTGTCTGAAAATGGGTCATGATTCTACAATCTGTCTGCCTGCAGGGGCAACTCTCCTACTCTTCAGCAACATCAGCCATCGGTAGACCTTGGGCTCCGCCTAGGGTTGCCATCTCATCCCTTTAAAAACCGAACACATATTAATTACACAGGTTCTGAGGCTAATTTAATGCAGATAAGGCACTAAGTGAGTTTAATTACTACCTTAATCAGCCACAGAACCTGTGTAATTAATATGTGTTTGGTTTTAAAAGGATGAGGTAGTAACCCTAGCTCCACCCTGGGCCCTGTGAGTCCCATCCAGCACATGTCCTCACCCTCACACAGTCTTTCTCCTCCCCTCTGGAAGTTTCCGGGCTTTAGATCCCATCCCTTCCCCAAGTTAAATAATGCTCTGCTATACTCAAGTTTGTAATAGCTAAACTGTGAAACACTTTCCTCTTGTGGTCAATCAATATCCTAAAAACAGGAACAGTGCACCGTGGTACATGTGGATCAGTGTAAACCCCCGTCCCCCGTCCTCCCCATCCTGCTTTTTTTTTCCCCTCGTGGCAGTGTGGATCGGATACAATCAGAGGGCAGGGGAATCAAGAGCCAATGGGACAATCAGAGAGGTCTCACTGTGCAGGCACTATGGATTAGGGGAATTGTAGGTTTTAACAGGCACTGCACCTTCCTTGTTTATGAAAAACTATAATTACTGGACTTCAGTTCATACAAAGGAGAGCTTCACTGTTTTCTTGGGCAAAAAATCCAGGGAAGAGAGCAACGACAATGGACCTGCTATCCGGGTCTGTGCCTCGTATCTGGAGGACTAAAGTCATTAGAGAGGAGGTAAGAGGACCTGTTGCTGTACTTGTTCCCATTCTTCAGGGAAATGGGATGGACCTGCACCCAAGCCTGCTGGAGCTGCCTTCTGAGACTGAGTTGAGAGAGAGAATAGTTGCATCTGCCGAGTCTGAGCTGAGAGACTACCGCCTGTGTGAGGGTCTGGCACCTGATTGCTGGGAGCTGCTGATCTCCAAACCATTGGGATCTGATTAGCCACCTGCCAGGAAGTGGTAAACAGAACTACATTTCCAAAATGCCCGCCACACTGTTATCCCAAATTGAGATTGCTCCCACTTAGCATCTTAGTTCCTGTTGACAGCTGTTAGCAGCTCCCTTTGCTCCCAGGGAGTGTAAGAATTCTCTAGAACATGGGTGTGGAACTATGCAATTGTCAATATGAATATTTATACAGACCTGGCCAATCCCAGGGAGGGCCCTGAAGACTTCTGGGTAACTGCATAAATACTCTGAGAGACTGAGCTTCTGGGTCTTTTCCTGCCAAAGATCAGTCCAGCCTGGAGGGCTTCTGCCTACCAGAGCAATTTTGTCATAAGCTTTTTGTTTGTGAAGCCTCAGGTGGGCGACCTGGGGGCCTGGATGCTAAAGCTACAGAGAGCTGTCTAAGAGGCTGTCTGCTGAAGATCTACTCTGGTATCACTGGAGAAAAGATGTCACTTGGAAGTTGGAAGGAGGCAACCAACTATCCCTGGGCATTCTGTGAATACAGTCTGCTGTGAGAGATATTAGAGACTTTTTTTTGGGACTGCCACCCCTCTTATGCTAGAAAGTCAGCTGTATGTTTGCTAAAGGGAAAATTGGCTGGTGTTCTGAGGAGTTTAGTCTATCTAGTATCTGTGAAGGGACTCTGCTCTTGTTGCTCTAGAAGAATGTGTGCTGTTAACTGTTTCTACCAAAAGCCAAGTACACTTTTTGCTATATGCAAGGACTTCTGCTTCAGCTGTATAGAAAGGAGACCACTGTTTTTGGAGTAAACGACTCAATTCCCTCAACCTTATGCAAGTTCTTGAAGAATAAAACCAACAACAAGAACACCCCTAGACTGGTTGAGGAAAAGAGTGTCTGCACTTGTTTGCCTGGCTGTG